CGCCGCTCGGGCGAGGGGCGGCGCGGCCGAGCGCGAGCGGAGCGGAACGGAACGGGCACCATGTCGGGCCGAGAGGGTAAGGCCGGGCCCGGGGCACCCGGCGGCCCCCCGCGACCCGCCTCTCCCTCCCTCCCCGGGGCTCACTGTCTCCTCTGTCTTTGCAGGCGGCAAGAAGAAGCCGCTGAAGCAGCCGAAGAAGCAGTCGAAGGACCTGGACGAGGTAGGGCGGCGGGCGAGCTCCGGGGGGGCGGCTGCGGCATCGGGCCCGCCCTGCTCGGCTCTGGCCGGGGCCTCGGCCCCTGCTTGCGGCGGGGCTGCTTTCCTCGTTCGTATCACCCCTCAGCTCAGCTTTCTGTAGCCATACGCATTTTATGAAACGTCACGTTTTACGAAGCATCGTTCTGACGGTAAAACGCGCGGCCGTAAGGGACCAAGAGGTGATGCGCTGCCTTCCGCGGCCCCGGTTTTCCTTTTTTTTTTTTTTTTTTTTTTTTTTCTGCTGCCATCCCGCCTGTGTTCACGGTAAACGCAGCAGTGGAGGCTAACGGAGGAGTCCGGTGCCACGGAGGAGGCTGGAACGGCCTCGCCAAAGCAGCAGGCGGTGATGGGAAGTCTCACAAATCGACGCGGTCACAAGAGCCTAGGACAGGATACAAAAAAACGGGGATTATCAAGTAGTTTAAATAAATTAGGTACTAGCGAATCTCACGTTAGAGACACTTAAACGTAAGGGCTCAGAGTGTGGGCATAAGCTGTTATTTCTGAGGATTGTGGTGGATGGATGAGGCAACAGTGGTTGGAAAAAGACAAATATGATGTCTCTTTGAAAAAGGAAAAAAAAAATCACAGCTCTTTAAAGCTCTATTGTTAGAGAAACGGTAGAACCAATTAAGTGTTTACAAGGATTCAAGTTATCATAATGTAAAAATTAATAGCCAGTATGGATTTTAGTATACATGTGGCAAACAAAGGAAATTCTGTTCTGTAGCAGGGCAGTGCTCTGTGTGTGAGGAGAAAACCAGTAGATAGGACGTTCTTGATGCTAGTGCATGTAACATTCTCAAATGCAAGGCAGGAACGGGACCTCTAAATGTGACGGAAGGTGAGCATGCAGCTTGCTGGAATGCCACTCTAAAAGCAGTTACTAACGATTCAGTGTCTGACTGCAAGGACATATTGAGTAGGGTTTTGCAAGATTTTGTATTCACTCGGAGTCTAAGTAATGTTTTAATTAGTGCCTTGGTTGGCTGGTTGACTAACTTACTGACAATACAGCTTATTCTCTTTGTAGAAAAAATCTGGAGGGGCCACAGGTTGTCAGAGGACAAGATTAGTGGTCAAAAGTAACCCTAACAAATTGGAGAAAGTTTGAAAAAATAGATTAATTTAATTAAGCATGTATGCTAAGTTGCTTTCTTTGGTAAGACTAATCAACTTATAAAATACAAGGAGAATGACTGGCTAAACTCCAGGTCCACCTGAAAGGATTTGAGACTTAGATCGTACACTGAACATGAACCTGCAAAATCAGGTGTTGCAAAAGAAAAAAAATCATACAAGATGTATAAACAAAATCTTGTGTGTCAAACATGATGTAATAATATTTCTTTTCCTCTCAGCACCACAATACTGCAAGCACAGGGGGGCAACACGTTGCAAGAAAAAAACCCTACAAAAGTGGATAAATGGGAGCGATTGATTTACTAAGAAAGACACGTTAGTTACAGGAAAAAAAAAAACCAAACAGTGGAAAACCTGGTGAGAGAAACAGAATATTCTGTTCTGTGTGGGGTAGGTAGGGGAAGTAATAGGCTTACATTGCAGCTAGGGAAGCTTTAACATAAGAAGAGGAAAACCTTCTGGTTATAAAGGTAGTTGAGCCATGGATTGGATTGGTGAAGAGTCTATAGAATCTCAGTTGTCAAGGTCCTCAGTTTAGTTACCCCAAAATCCTGAGTGCCAAGGAAAAACACTATGGTCCCTTTCAGCCCTGATGTCTATGAAGAATGTGTATCTAAGGGATAGAGTATGTCTGAGCTCTCTTGAATTCTGGAGGCTTTTCTAGCAGGGATGCTCAACAGCTGGCTTGCCTGTACAATTTGCCAGCAGTCTCAACTAGATTTCTTGGAACCAAGACAAACATATTAAACCTGGGAAAATAGTGACAAATGTGTGGAAGGATTTTTTTGAAATTAATGCGTTTTTTTGGTAAAAGCAAACTCTTCTTTTTTTACATCTTAAATAATCCAAGTTTTATTGTTAGACAGTGCTTGTGCACTAGGCTCCCAGTATCACTGGTGGCATATTAATGAATGGTTTTAGTGCAAACATCTAATATCAGAGGGCAGAATTAGATTATGCCATAGGAAACAATACTTGTTTAATTTCAGAAAGATAAAACAAACAAAGTTAAAGTTTAGTCATTGCATTCTGGTACAGCAAAAAAACTTTGTCATAGTTCTGCAAGGTTTTGCATATTTAGTAGTATTCAGCTGTCTTGCATCAGTTCAGTCAGGTTTTTATTGCTATTAGAACATTACATTTGTTTCTCATTGCTTGTCAGTTGTTTTTGAATTTTTTGGGGAGGAGATGTTAACAAACACTGTTGTTCTTTTCTTTAGACAGATCTGGCATTTAAACAAAAGCAGAAGGAGGAGCAAAAGAAACTTGAGGAGATGAAAGCAAAGGCTGCTGGAAAAGGGCCCCTCAGTAAGTGAGGTGCCATACTGATAGGAAAAATGGAGGGCTTGCTGGCTTCAAAAATTTAATGTTTTTGCTTGAAAAACATAAAAAGGCATGTACCTCTAGGTCATTTAACATACACCAGTAAATTGATGGCAGGTGTAGATGATAAGTAACAAATAGAGGCTAATTTTTTTTTTTTCTCCTTCACTATGCAATTTTGTGCCCAAATTACTGATGCAGGTTGTGGTTTAGCAGGTGCAACAGTGCGTCTGCATGCTAACCTATTCTGGTGGGATGGTGCAGAGACATTTCTACTCTTATTTTAGCATACCATCCTTTTCTTTCCAGATATATTACTTGTAGGCTTTGCCACAGTCCTGGAAGTTTAACAAATCCAGTACTACTTCTCTTAGAGGATGAATTTCTTCAAGAGCAGTAGATTCCTGGCCAAAAAAAAAACATGACGGGAAATTAGTCTGGCTTCAACCCTTTTGCCTAAGTGACTGTAAAGTACGCTGTGTCACAGAAGAAAGTTTGCAGCGTGCATCTGGACGGTGCATTGAGCCTAGTCTTTGTCTCAGATAGTGATAGAAGCAGATAGTGTTAATGTGAGTCTGTGGACTCGCCTTGTACTCCTTCAGCATTTGCAGTGATCGGATTAGAGATGTTAAAGGGTGCACCCTGCCTATTAATTCCCTCTAGGTGTTTTTGACGTGTGGTCCATTAATGTGACTAATCACTTTTCCATTCTGTGAAGAATGTTAAACTTTGCACTTTGCTTCCTATTCTTTAACAAGCTTTCAGTCTTGAAAGGTCCCAGAAAGACCCTTTCGGCAATCCCATAGCAACTTAGTTTCACTAATAACCTTTGCTATGGAGTCTTGTCAGATGCCGTTTGAAAATATGAAAACGCCTGGATTCACTTAGCCATACACTTAACGATAACCTCAGAGTTCCAGCAGGTCAGTGAGGAAGGATTTACAATTTACAGAAGTCTGTTAACTTTCACAAGACTGTGTTTATTAATTTGCTTTATTTCAGACTCTGTTACAGAGGTCAAGGTCAGACTCGCTGGTCTATAGTTGCCCAGTTCTTTACAGAACCCTTTTTTTATCTGGGAGCTATGCTGGCAGTCTATGAGTCCTCTGACAGAGTGGCTGTAATGGTAAGTTTCAAATCTTAGCCAGCAGTTCTGCATTTTCACATTAGAGCTTGTCATAGCTCTTGGAGGGAGTGCCATCCAGTCCCACTGACTTGGGATATTTCTTGTTTATTTATTGCAAATTGATCTAGCTCCTCTGATTTTTTCAGTGTACAAAAAAATGTGCCAGGTGTGGGACTCAGAATGTTTTTGGTATTACAGACAGATGCAAAACATTTCGCTCAGCTTCTCTTCTGTGTCCTTACCATCCTAAACTTGTTCTGGGTAGGGCACTTCAGCTTACAGATTTTTCCGTAGTTCCTGCCATTATTACTCTCCCTTTTTCTAGACTGAATTTCAGTCATCTGGTCCTTGTCCAATGCTTGCCAAAACAGATAGTGATTATTATGTTATTCTGGGAGGGCTAGACTACTCCCAAGAGCCTCAGCAAGGCAATGGTGTTAGAATCAATCATATTGGAGTGTGAAGTCTGTTATTGACCATCAGCCCTTGCAGCCTATCTTGCTGTAGCCTTGCTATTCTTTTTTTTCCTTTCCCCTGGTTATACATGACACAAGCTGTAAAAATCAGCATTTACAAAAAATGCCACACTTGTTGCTGTGTTAATATGCTGTGTTCTTTCACCCTGCTTTAGTCTCTTCAATAACAGGGACTGCAGAGAACAGATAATTCCAGAGAACTGGAACTCTCATAATTCCAGTACCTGGTTCTGTAGGGCTTTGATTCCAGCTGGGGGCTCTGGTTGCTGTAGAGATATCAATGTTTTTATTCCCTTAGCCTTCAATTTGACCAGACTATACTCCTGCTGTATAAGAAATAAAAAATGGAGGGTGTCCATGGAGGAACAAAGGAATTGTTGAAATATTTAGTTCTGTCATAGATTTATGGGGCATATTTGGTTCCAGGAGAAACTTGGTTTCTAATGTTATTCATTCAGAGATGTGATCACAAACACAGAAGAGTAACATGTGCAACA